AGTGCCTGCACCTCGTGTGTGAACCTGGCTTGGCCCCTGCTTGCTGGGAACTGGGGGTTTGGGGTAGGAAAATTCAAGATGTGCCTGTGTAAGGCTGTTCTGGGGGGACTCCTGGCCCTGCAGCTAGAGCTGGGGGCTTAAAGAGGGGGGAAGAAATAGCTGGAACTCCTGAGATGACTGCACCAGCTCCTGGAGCGTGCAGGGTGGTCCCACGCCTGCTCTGCCTTGTGGTGTGGCACTGCACCCATGGAGCAGGACAAGGGACCCCTCTGTGCCAGGTGTCCAGGGGCATCTCCATCCCCAAGCCACCAGAGACCCCTGGGCAGGGGATGCTCAGGATGCACAGGCAGCAGCACAGGACCCATCAGGCTGAGCTTGTCCCCATCCTCTGGGGAAGCTGGGATGTCTCTGGGGGCTCTTGCCCTCATCCTACTGCTGAGGGAGGCACAAATGCCCTGCCTGTGCTGCCAAGCTGAGCTCCAGCTCCTTCTGAGCCTGCCAAGACCCCCCCACCATGGCTAGAGGAGAGGGAAAACCTTGGCTGTGGCCATGAGCTCACCCTCCCCGAGAGCCTTTGAGGTGGCTCTCATCACCCTGGGGCAGAGTGTCCCTCTTGTCTGGCTCTGCACCGACCCATGGTGATGCTCCCCCAGGACAGGGTCACCATGCCCGGAGGAGGGTGATGTCCCCACAGCCCTGGGGGAAAGAGTTGCCATTCCCCTTGACAACTGCTTCGGGCAGTAACTGGCAGGTCCAAAAACCAGTCCCACGCGTGGCTCGAAGGCAAGGCAGGTCCCTGGGGAGCCCATGACCCTGTGTCACCCCGCCGGGCTGCCACTGCCCCTGGGACGGGCGCAGGGGAGCCCATCCCGGCCGGTCGGAGGCAGGAACTAATCTGTGCACAGATTAGGCAGAGTTCCCAGCAATGGAGGTTTCTTCTTTTTCCTCCCCCCTCAGTGATAACAAATAATAATATAATCCCCTTAATCCCTCCCCGAGGAGCCGGGTGAACTCCCGGCCGGGAAGCACCGCGCTTCTGCCGCTGCTGATAACTCACACCCAGGGCCCCCAGAAAAACAAACATTTGGCTCTCACGTTGCCCCCCAAAACTCCGTGTGCTGCCCTGTGGCTCCCTCTCCCAGCATCCCCAGACCCTCATGCAGTCCCACTGCCATCCTGGGAGGATCCAGCACCGCTCCTGGTTCCTTCCCTCTCGGCGAGGCCATCATGACCCTGCAGAGCCCCCAGACTCGGCCGAAGGGGGCCCATTGAAGAGCCCATGGAGGCTCTGTCCTCTCAGCTCCTGCTTCCTCTGCAGCAGGGCAGTGGCAAAGCCCCAGCAAGCTTAGCTTAGCTTAGCACGCCAGGTGCCCCTGCGCCTTCTGCTGCACAGGAACAATGCCATGGGTGTCCTCCCTGCACTCTGTCCCCAGGGAGACACCCTGGGGGGTTCTGCAGCCCCCACGAGGCCCCAGCTGAGCCCCAGGAGCTGTTTTAGGGGTGTTGGTGTGGGGAGCATCATCTCCTGCCCCAGCTGAGTGCCCAGGAGTGCTGGCATGGATCCTGCAGCCCCAGCCATCCCTGGGGTGCTGGGAAGGAGCCCGTGCATCCAGCTGCCACATCCCCCTCCCTTCCCAGGGACCCCAGCCTGCTGTTTCGCCCCTGGTGCCGAGCCCTCCCTCCGTCCCCATCCAGCAAATATTAATAACAACCCTGCAACCGCCTGTGCTTTTATTCCCTGGCTCTGCTGGCCCTGGCTCTGCTGAGCTCAGCTCCTCTGGCTCCAAAATGCCTTTTAAAATTACCAGAGAGCGGAGACCCCTGCGAACAGCCTGGCCCCGGCTGCCCCCTCCTCCCTGGCACTGCCCCGGGGCCAGCAGCACCCTGTGCCACGCGGGGAGCTGGGTGCCACCCGCCCCCCTTCTTTGAGAGGCGCCAGGCTGGGCTTGATTAAAACCCGAGTGAAAGGCAGAGCCAGGGCAGAGAGGGGGATTAGATCGCTCCGGGGAATGTTAATGGACTCCAGAGCTCTCTGCCCGGCTGGCGCTGGGATGGATCCAGCCCCGGACGGACAGGCGGGCGCACGGAGGGCGGCGGGGGACGGACACAGGGGCTGGGAAGCCTTTCCGAGGGCCTGGCCGCTCCTCCGGGGAAAGCAGGGGTGGTCTGG